AAATTCAGAAGATTTGAAAAAAAAAGAGAAGGACAGACGGTTGAAAATGAAGCTGGACAAATTGGTCTTGGTCGTCATACGGTATTTTTAAACTAGTACAATCACCAAAATGCCAGTGTGGAGAGGCGGACGAAACTGTTGAACACATCCTTCAGCACTGCAAGAGACACAGGGCCCTGAGACAGGAAACGTGGCCAACCCCACTGACACTATAAGAGAAGCTATACGGGCCCACAGATGAACTGAGTAGGACGGCTTAATATAGTTATTGGTGTGAGGCTGTGCACTTCTCCTTATTCAACACTAACTAATTGATCATGTATTCAATTCAGGTCGTACATGTGACATATCCCAGGGTGGAAGATAGATTCTACGGCTTTCAAGAGCCACCAGCTTTTGACACGTTTCATCCTTTAATGGCCTGAACATACGTGTGAAGTTGTGGGGAGATTTTCTTTCTTTCTATCCTTTAGATAACATCAGTTTGTTAAACCATCGAAAGTGGGTGGTTAGCGTGTGCTCTGGTGTGGTTTGCTCCCTTTCTCCCCTCCTTCTATTTTGTGTTTGTTACTCTCTTGTAACACGTCTAATCTTCGGCACTTATATGACCTTATTGTGTCATGTTGCAAGTGCCATAAAACTCTTTCTAAAATTAAAAGTCATCGAAATTATTTCAGGCACTGAGAAGTTTTCTGACGATAAAGAAATGAAAGACCCCCCCCCCCCCAAACCAAACCCCAAGGAACATACAACCTCGTTTTGTGCTTCTGCTAATTTTGCATACATTATTATTCATTTAAAGGTCGAATGGGTCTTAAACAATTTTAATTCGACCACACAATATATCATGTCGGAAACACACATTCTCCGGAGGCATGGCGATGACATACAATGGAAACGTTTAGGGTGACAAAAATAAAGCAAAGCACAAGATAGACTGCGTTTTTTCCTTTGTATTGAAAGAATATTTGAGCAAACACAGAACAGCGAGATTGTCAGAGAATGTGAAAATATAAAAATACAAAACACACGGAATATACATAGTATTATTATAATTATTTAACAAACGGACTAAATTGAGCTGCGAAATATCGCGGCACAGGCATCATTTATATGAGTAAAGAATTATGAGATTATAGGAGTCATGAAGACAGCACCACGATCACAGAAAGAATTCCAAAGCAGTTAATGGAATAGTCACAAGCAAAGAGTAACAAGCAAGCGTAGCTAACGGAAAGTACAAAGGCATACTGTAACGTATGATATGTATAGAATAAGGGAGTGCTTATTTAGGCTAAGTCAAATCTAGGGGTGTGCGAAACCAGTAGTTTAGACTCAAGTCCGAGTCCGATTCTTAGTAATTAAAAGTACTCCACTCGAGTTCAAATCATGAGCATCATGAGTGTGTTGTATTTTGATGATGCCTTAAAAAATTGAAACGATTGTTTAAAATAATGACGTATTATTCTTAATCTGAAAAAGAAACTTGAAGAAGTAAAACCAACCAACAAAAATAGTAGGGCTACTGAGATTATTTGAATAGTACACAAAGAACAAAAAAGGCCCCACACAGGACTTGAACTCACATCTTTGGCGTGCGACAGTGACGCGTTTAACCACTACACCACAGATACTAATCTCAATTTCTTTCTCGGTATTAGACTGTTTGGAGGTGCAATGGAAGCTACATAGTATTATAATGCTGCTGATTCAATCAGTTGAATCAGGCATGCGTTTGGTATTTAACGATGAATAGGTGATACAAATAAGACACTGAGGTGCTGCTGCTGCTGCTGCTGCTGCTGCTGCTGCTGCTGCTGCTGATGATGATGATGATGATGATGATGATGATGATGATGATGATGATGATGATGGTGGTGGTGGTGCTTAAAAATAGCAATGGTAGTGACGAAGTGGAGGAGGTTGTCATTGGCGACAACGTAGATAGTAATGACTATGATAATTGTTCGCCGTTTGTATTTCAAAGTCAGATAAAGTCAATATAGTGTAGGAAGTATTCATACTCGTGTTTCTTTTCCCTTTTCTCATGTTTTCCATAAATGAACAAATGAAACAATAGACAGTCCAAATTGTCTTTGACACGGACTTTTTTCGTGGAAAAAAATTGTAGACAAGTGGATGTCGGATCTAGGGCAGTGTCAATATAATGTTTTTGAAATTGGTTTGGAGGGGGGGGGGGGTGGAGAGTTGGAAATGGTCATTTGTACGGGTGATTGTCTTGGACATGTGACCCTTAGAGCATCTTCAACTGTAATTCCAATGATAATATTATGATACCAATGATTGCGTGTGTTTTCAGTAGCTGTAAAAACATAGAAAGATCATTTTGTTACTGCTTCACATAAAAAAATAAAATAAAATAAAGATTATAATGTGGTTTTCAACAAGTAAACATATAAAAAAAATATATTAAAAAAAACAAAAAAACAACAGCTTTGGTAGCCCCATCATGCTCAACAAATACAGAACATGATGAAAGGTATTTGTAAAAGGTATGTTGAATGGATAGTTGTTAGATTAGAAAATACCATCACTTTGCAAACATTTCAAAAAGGATAATTATTGCTTAAAACAAAACGGTGAATCATCAACTGATTTACTGGATAATTCAATGAAAACCCACTGAGACAAAATAAATAAAGGAATGAATAAATAAATAAATGAATATAAATAAATGAATTATACATAAATACATAAATAAATAAATAATAAACAAACAAAAAACAAAATAAATGAATAAATAAATAAATAAATAGATTTTTTTTTATGAATAAAAGAATACAGAGAAAACAGACATCTTTTCAAACCACCCAGCAACCACGATCAGATATCTATCAATCACTTATCAAACAAAGAATATCGCTCATTTATCAATAGCTTCCACCAGCACCTGCGGCGTAGCGGTTAGGCGTCTGCCGTCTCAAGCAGGAGACCAAAGTTCGATTTCCAATGTTTGTTTTTTTTAAATTATGCATCTTGGTCTTTCTGCTGGGACGTTAATTAAGTCCCTCTCAGCCCAGATTGGCCCTGTGGAGCAAAATCGAAGCCTACCTTCTAAATTGGTATACATTTTCAAGATTTCAACTGATAACGTCAAAACTCGAAAAGCTACATAAAAGTAAGCTCCCATTCCTGCAAACGTCTAAACGAAATCCACCCCACACTGGTCTGAGCAGATATAATCCGTCTGACATCAGCAAGATATTGTAAAGATCTCCATCATACATTGAGAAGACCCATACACCTGTCCCAGGGTTTTATGCACCCCGCATAATTTAGCAAAATTTGATAACTTTTTTGCCGAATTTCTGATCATTTTCCATTATGATTTTCCGTTATCATTTTCCGTTATCATTTTCCGTTATCATTCTTTGTTTTAATTAACAGATCGCATAATTTCACATATGTTTTGGCTCAGTTTGCATAATTTCGGATTTTTTTTTCATAATACCGCGGGGACAGACACACACCAGACACCTTTCATAAAGAAGCCAGATGGGCATCAGATATCCCCTAGACTCATGTATCAGGATATATATCAAATATCATTATGTATGTACCAATAACATACTATAATAATAAAACATACACATATAAAATGGTTTATATATATGTACTCATATAAACATTTCTCTCTCTCCCTCCCTCCCC